TGCCTAGCAACAAGGGGTTAAAACTTTTTGGGTCTTGCTATATGGACTATTAATTTTAATTACAAACCAACTAAGATATCAATAATAACAAAATTATAGATCATTACCTAAATCTGATGTCCCAATCGTCTCATTTTTCTTATTAGCTACAATGACTTCCACAAATTCTGTATTTTTAGTTAAAAAATTAAGCAAGGTATTCTTTTGTCTTTTCTCAGATACAGTTAATGATCTACTATAATTATTACAAAGGATAATGAGAATTGAGTGAGAGAAACAGTTAGGTAACAATTATTCACAATCATTTAAAAAAGATAAATATTCAGATGTAAATATATAGCATGTTTACAGACTTTGCTTTGCTTTTTTTTTTAAATCTTTTCATGTGTTTCGATTTCAGGAAAATATAAGGATTTTTTGTAAATATTACGATAATTTCAAACTGTTTATAACAATTGTTTATTTAAAAGAAGTTGTAAATTATAACGGAAAAATTCATTGTTACCAAGTCTTCAAACAAGCTGACAAAGTTTTTGATAATCAACATTGTTAAAAAATTTTCATACAGGAGATTGATAAAAATACTACTTTTGTTTAGTCATAAAATTTTTGCAGCGAAAGGTTTTACAATAAAATAACAAGGGATCAGATTTATCAGTTACTAAAAGATCCTCATTTTGCACATAAACTTTTTTGGTTTACGATAAATAATCTGCAAGATATCTCAACTTTATTTCTGCTGAAATTCCGATGAAACTGAGGAATTCTCTTTTTTTTGCAGAGCTGTCAAAATTGGAATTTTTAGTCGAAAAATTGTTTCATTACGGAAAATTTCTCCACAATGCATAGAACATCCATGAATTTTTTGAATTCTTTTAAATGGGTACAAAATGTACATAATGAATTAAACAACTAAGCGTGCCAATACAGCCGCTCCCGAACGCTACGGGTTTCAAATACACAACTTTGAGCGCGGCTCACGTCTAAATTATAAAAAATAAATATATACCGTCCTTGACTTTTTTTTTGATAATTTTATCCTCTACAATTTTGGCCGTACAAAATTTTGATGAATCTGTAATAACAATTGTGATATTGCATCCGAAATATATTTCAATCGCTATCCAGAAAAAGAACAACCTAATAATGCTATTTTTAAGAGGCTAAAAGAAAATCTCATTAATTGTGTGTACTTCAACTAGCCAAGACCAAAAAATTACAACATTGAAGATGCTGAAGAAACTTCTATAACTGTAATTGTAATGGCGGTTGCAAATCCTTCAATTTCAAGTCGCTAAATTGAAGCTGATTTCGAGATTTCAAGACGGCCAGCTTTGGGTATTTTGGAGACACACAAATTCAGGCCTTATACAATAAGGAAGCAACATCACCTGCAACCAACTGATCTTTAGCGACGATTGGAGTTTTGCATATGGTATCGTCAAAAAAGTCAATAAGATCCATTCTAATCTAGAAATGTAGTTTGGACAGATGAAGCCTGCATTAGCAGTGCAGGAATTTTCAACAGGCATAACGAGCACTATTGGTCTGATATGAACCCTCACCGTATCGTTGACGCACGATCTTAGGGACGCTTTGGTTTAAGTATTTGGTGTGCTCTACGTGGCAATCGTGTTTTAATATATCACATATATCAAGAAAATCTTAATGGCCAACGGTACTACGAAATCTTAAGCCAGGAAGAATTTATGGACGATCTACCCTTAATTGAGACAAGAAATCAATTCTTCCAACAAGATGGTGCACCACTTCATAATATCAGGACAGTTTCAGAATTATTAAATACCAGTTTTGGAAATAACTGGATGAGAAGTAACGGACCAGTGAGGTGGCCACCACGATCACCTGACTTAACACCACTGGATTTTTTCTTTTGGGGCCACATTAAAGACAAATTATAGAAGAAAACCAGTACCGACATAAATGAACTCAGACAAAATTTTATAGACTGTGTGAATTTCTTTTCAAATCCTCATATCTGATTTATTGGTCTTAGCTTGTTGAAGGGCCCACAATTAATGAAATTTTCTTTTAACCTCTTAAAAATAGCTTTATTAGGTTGTCTTCTTTCTGGATAGCGATTGAAATATGTTTCCAATATGAATTGGAACAGCATAAAAACGCCAACAGCGGGAATTTAGTCATATCCATGAGCGTCGACCAAAAAGGTTTAAAATTATCTTTTAATTCTTTAAAATAAATTGAATATTTTTTTACTATTTATATGCGTTTATATGTATGTACAATACCTATATTAACCTTTTCATTTATTTACTTACTTGTTTTTTATTTATATTAGTTGAATAAGCAATTTTGATGATCGAATAAAAGATAAGAATCTTATTTACTACATTTTCTACAAACTGTAAAAATTGATATTGACATTTAAACAAAAATACTAAGTGGCAATTGAATTATCAGAAGAATATTCTGAACTTGAATCGTCACCGGTTTGAATAATAATTGGTGCTACGGGTGGCAAAATGGGATACTTCTTTTCTTTTTGTATAACATGACTTTCGTATTTCCCCCATATGTCGCTATTGCTCACTTCAGTTACTACTTGTCGTATATTATCAAGTACTACTGCGCTTAAAGTTGGTGACTGATTGCATTTTCGTAAATGTTTCTTTATAGTACCCCAAACCATCTCGATCGGATTAAATACGCAATAATACGGTGGCAACTGCGCGAGCGTATGACCGTGTCTCTTGCAAAGATCATCAACTACATATTCGTTTATAAAATTATGCTCCTTTATACGTTTTGATAATTCTTTCTTTATCGGAACCTTTTCAGGGATGTCCATATTTTTATTCCTCATGAATTTTAAAATGTCCTCCTTTTTGGTACTATTATTAGGTATTATATGTAATAAACGCGAATGATACGAAGCATTGTCTATAACAATGACCGAATTTGGAGGAATGTTAGGTAGAAGCTGTTTAGCAAACCATTTTTCGAACAAATCCGCAGTTGTGTCTTCGTGATAATCAGCAGAGGATTGTGTTATGTTTTTGGCCGACAAGAGCAATGCGTTGGGTACAAAACCGTATTTTCTTCCAGCATGAAGAATTATAACGCGCTTTCCTCTCGAGCAAGGTATATTCAAACTATAAGTTTAAGAGTCATCTACCCAACCGTACTGAACAACATCGTGTGTGTCAAACCAGGTCTCATCGAGACATACTATATGCCTATTTGATTCACGGTATTCTTTCATTTTATGTAAGTATTTTCGTCGATGTTCAACGATATGTCGCGATTCCATTACATCCATTCGATTATCTACTTTTTTGTGTTTAAAGCCGCAATCTAATAAAATTCCTTGTAGCGTTTCTAAAGATTTATAATTATAATCCGGATAATCACGCAATTTATCACGAATCATTTCTAAAGTTGGTACTTTATTTTCCTCATAGAAACTATAAACCGTTCGCCGAATAACGTCTTTCAAGGTATCGTCAATTCTACAAAATGTTCGTCTTTTTCCTTTCCGCTTTGTAGTGGAAATATAACATCCCCTTAATAACGCGATAAATCGTAGAAGTCGAAAGTTTAGTTAATTCATGAATTCTATTTACAATGTCCCTATCTGTCGTTTCAATATTTTCTCTCTTTAAACATTCATAAATATTTAAAATAAGCCGCTGACATTGAACATGTAAATCCTTGTTCTTATTAAACTCCGAACTAGTCTCAATTAACGGCGCCACCGGTTCAATATTTTCTTTAGATAATTCATTTTTATGCTTTTCAAAGGGCTTCCAAAAAGCCGTGTTAATAATAATTAATGGAAATATTGAAATATTACTAAAGCCACTTAATAAGATCACTAAAATGCTATAAATACCTCACAGAAAATAATTCTATTTATCTAAAATTATTACATGAACTGCACTGTACGGTCAATATAAACAACTAGTCTAGTAGTCTATTCAAATCACGACTTTTTCGTCAGAGTTCGGACACTACCACCCGAGTTTCACATCTGGTCCGCTGCATTGCCACATCCTCATATCGAATGTAATGTAGAGGTATCGTTCAATAAATACAAGCACGATTTGCGCTCTATTTCTTTGATGATGAAAGTGGAAATGCGCCCTCCTGGTATAAATACTTTAGACTGAAGTGTTTGAATTCATACGGGATAAACTATATTACTTTGAATAAAGCATTCTAGTATATCATATTTTTCGTAGCTTTGGTAAGACATCTTCATTTTTACGATTAAATGGGGTGTAATTATGACGTAAACAAAATTATTAATATGCAATTTACTGACACATTGTCATAGATGACACACGCCTACTTGGTGTAAATATAAAAAATGCAGAAAGTAATCTACCAAAAGATTATTTTCGTTATTAAATACTTACACATCAAAAGCGACCCCACATTTGATATATAGTTTGAAAGAGAAAAAAAATTCCAACTAAACCATGGCCAACTATGATTCCCATTTTAAAAAATACAATTTTACGCCATAACCCGAAATTACACCTTTTTTTAAAATTTTCTCGACGCCACTGTATTACTGTAAAAGTTGTTTTTTTCATAACTTTACAAACAACCAAGATATTGACATGTCTAGAAGTCGAAAAATCGAACATTTGTTTATAACTCGAAAACAAAAGATAGCAAATTTTTGTTTTTGCCAGTGAATTTCTCTCAAAAAAAAAAGAGATCGAGAACGTGTCTTCCATTTTTTTTGTATCTCTTACAGTTACTGAGTTACACTATGCAAACATCGAAATTTGCCCACCCTGTACAATAAGTGTACTAAGTTAATATCGATATTTCAATATGTTTAAGAGATAATTAAAAAAGATACTTAAAAAAAATAAATTTCAACGCACTCTGAAACTGAACGAAATACGATGTTTATTGAAAATTGTTTTCTTAAGATAAGGTTTTTTTTGAATGCCGAAATTTTGGTTCTCAAATTATAAATCGATCAATCAATCAATCTTTAGTGTGGCTTTGTGGTCGAGTGGTGTCGATACTTGCCTCCTACCCTGGAGTCACGGGTTCGATCCTCGGTCGAGAGGCTACGATTTTTTTTATAAACCAGAAATTAATGATAGCATACTCGGACATTGGGTGTGTGTCCATTGTCTCTAAATGTGTAGCCCTTTTCTGCACAAGGTATCTTGAAGTATCCTCAGAGATACAGGGAATTGTATTATCTGTGATGTTTAATTTTAAAATTAATTTTAAAAATCTGTTAACTTTAAATGTGAGAAAATTGCAGAGGTCACGCCTCTCTGGGTGGTTGGCTTAGCTTCAAATCTCAATAAGCAAACTTCACTTTTGACAGTATTTATCTGAATAATTTTTAAAATAATTATCCGTTTCAAAACTGATCTCAGATGTAGACCTATGATGCCGGATTTTATTATGTCATGCTAACAACGAATGGACTATAGTAGCTTTTAAATAACTAAATATCTTTAGTAAATTTCAACGCTCTCTGAAACTGAACGAAATACGATATTTATTGAAAATTCTTTTTCTTAAGGTAAGGTTTTTTTGAATGCCGAAACATTGGTTCTGGTGGGTGGGACACCCTTTTATAAATCGATCAATCAATCAATCTTTAGTGTGGCTTTGTGGTCGAGTTGTAAGGACACTTGCCTCCTACCCTGGAGTCCCGGGTTCGATCCTAGGTCGAGGAGCTATGATTTTCTTCTACTAAACCAGAAATTAATCATAGCATACTCGGACATTGGGTGTGTGTCCATTGTCTCTAAATCTGTAGCCCTTTTCTACATAAAGTATCTTGAGGTATCATCAAAGATACATGGGATTGTATTATCTGTGATGTTTATTTAAAATTCATAAACTTTACTTTTGACAATACTTATCTGAATAATTTTTGAAATAATTATCCATTTCAAAACTGATCTCAGATGTAGACCTATGATGCCGGATTTTATTATGTCATGCTAACAACGAATGGACTATAGTAGCTTTTAAATAATTAAATATCTTTAGTAAACTACATGCTATCTTGTTTTTAAACAATGCTACCTACAATCATAATTGCAATAAACTCATTGATACAAACAAATTAACGATAATAAAAATAAACAATATAGTTTATTGAATTTTTATATACATAAACAAAGCGTGTTTTGTTTACTACTTGTTTACTCATACTATAACCAGTTGGTCAAGGTCAAGTTCCTCTACTCTACTATTTTTAGGTCGGTTATTTTTAAATGAGTTCTACAATTTATGTTTTCACTTCATGAACACGAAATTTTTTCAAATATTTTATAATGATTTTTCTAGTAAATTGTAGTTTTACGAAATTTTAAAGAACCATGGTATTCGGAATTTTTTAAAGTAGAATTTTACTTCCTTACAACCAAGAAAATATGAAGCTAATATTTAAATCCCACATTCAAATATTTTAATATATTGCCCAAAAGAATAAATCCAATTGCCAGTACAACACAACCACAGATCCGAGTAGTACCGCTCGCTGCTGGAAATGTCCTACGCATTGAACATTAGAATCCTTATTTCCTAAGAAAGAGAAGGAAACGACTGTGTCGTTTCAATAGAGGCGCCGTGTTATTGTATAGTAAAATTGGCGGGCTCTTTGATTCGTACTTCTAAATTAAATTCAGATTTTCAGTTTGAACAAAACCAGTATTTAAAAAGGCAAACACAATTTTCTTTGGCAGAAATTGAATTTGTCTTTTAAATATCGGTTTTATGTTTTGGAAAATGTATAAATGAAATATGTTTTATGATTTTTATTTATTAACCGTAATTATACATATATTACTGTATTTTCATTTCGATATATGATAAAAAAATAACAAAAACAAAAAATAATTGTTTTATTATCTTATTTTATTTATAACACATAATATAAATATTATTTATAGTAGTCACTTTCTACTAAAGTTTCTGATTCAAGATTCGCAGAAGTGTAATTTTGCAAATGTGATCCCAAGTCTTTCATTGTGTATGTGTATATTCACTTTTACATGCAACCCTAAAAATACAAATCTTGAAAACCACAAAATATCTATTGAAAAATTAGGATTTACATAGCCACTTGTAAATTAACTCGTTAATATTGTGTCAACCGAGCCTTCTCATAAAATTTTTTTAAAATTCATATAAAATACAGAAAACTCCGTTTGGTTTGGTACATCCTTATGGATATGGCAAATTGCAACTTTTATTTTCTTGTACTTACGATTAATTCAAAGAACAGAATCCAGCTAAAATAAACAAGATAAGATTCAAATATACGATAGTCGGATAGTCACTGAATTTCAGCATAATATTGTTATTAAATTTCTTATAACATAATAAATCAATTAAAAAAATATCTGATGTGGCCAGCACATAACTTTCTTATACCAGTATATACCGTCCTGATGTAAAAAAATCATTCTATTTAATTTTTCACTTACCTCAATTAAATTTTAACGCACACACGCACATGCGCACACGCGCACACACACACAAGCACACACGCGCACACACACGCGCACACACGCACACACACGCACGCACCGACAGACATCATTCGGAAAATAGTCAGAATGGATTCAGGAGGGTTCAAACGTATAAATCAATCAAAATCTCGAGGTCGAAAAAAAATCACATTTAACTATACTTCCTTATATTAGATGTAAGAAAGTAATTAACAAAATGACAAATTTTTTATGAGTATGACAGCTGTTCCTCTAATTCGAGAGTGGGAGACTAGGTTTTTCTAGTAATCTTCCGGGTAAGCTACCAGTTAAGAATATACTAATTATATGCCTATAAAATTAACTACACACAGAATATAAAGAAATATATAAAATATCATTTACAATCAGAATCTAATAGCTAGAACACAAAACATGTTGAATACAATTACAACCGGTGACAAACGCTAGTAACCGATAGTCGTTCGAAAGGAGATATTGCATAGACAAAAATAATGTATCAGCAATGCTAGTTTCAGACCCGTGCCGTGGTTCTACGTACTGGGTCTACAAAATAACACAAATATCTAGGCAGTACAATGCATTCAACATAAGGATACGCGATACGGTATGATAATTTCGGATACCGGTACTTTTCTCGATATTTTTACCGGTATTACAGTTTACGATGCGGTACATTTTTAGCCCGTACCTATCGCAACATATATCGATATTGACTTTTATGTATATTTAAACTGAGATGCCGATAAAATTTCATATAATTCTCAATGAGTTATAAATAAGAAGAATTATTGGTTTCCAGAGAGTATTTAAGATAAATTGAAAGTGGTTATAGCTAACGGCGGATGTAGTTGAAATGCACAAAAGATGTATCATCTACAAAGAAGGGGCATAAAGCGTTATACCTGAAAATTATGAATTTTCCACATAATTGTTAGTGTAACCAACCATTATCAACGCCGTTTTTGTAAATATACATATCTAAGTTTCCAATTTCAGTCAGTATGTCGAATCGGTTAACTGCTGCATAACTGGCATCCATGTTCTTTTCTTAATCACCCATTTCTATTGTCGTAAACAGTATTTGTAAAATGACCCCACAAGAAAAAGTTAAATGGGTTAAATCAGGCCAACTAAGAGGTTCGTTTGTTCACTTCTGTCCAAATACCTTGAAACAATTCTTAGAGTGGGCGGTGCGGTGCACTGACTGCTGAAGTCATATCACTGCTCACACTGACCGGAGCATCTAATGAGGTTGGAAGCTTGTTAAGCAAAAATTTAAATATCGTTGGCTATTAAATTTTCCATACAGTCCAACTAAATATACCAGAATCAGAGGATCTTGGCGTGCACGTCATCACAACCGCAATTGGAAAATACGATAAAATAATTCGATGCCCTTATCTATCTCTAAACAGTATTATATAAATCGAGCCAACGCACTAGATACATAATTAGCAGCGTGCGCAGTTTATAGTTGTAAAAATGGGAGGCTTCTACGTCTACATGTTATTGTGTTTGCGTAAATGAAAGTGATAGTGATTACGGTGATAAAGAAAATCAAAGTTCATCAGTGTTGTCAGTAAGAAAAAATCGGCTACATTTGAACGAGCAAGCGAAACAAATTTGCTTCAACATTTACAATAATCTTTTGAAGCGATGAGCTAATGATCCTAATTTGTATAATTTAGAAGTACTAGGTGAAACAGCATCTCTGACTAACGTTTCAAGTCCCAAAACACACAAACTGGTGAATAAAGGTGCCCTCCCAAGAAAACAACGATCCAACGCCGGTCAATCTAAAACTCTGGACCCATCATTAGCAAAACTTTTAAGAACTTTGGTGTACGACGCGTATCAGAAAAATGAAATCCCAACTATTGACGTGGTAGACAGAAAACTAAAAGAAATGGATTATCATCTAAAATATACCAAAAGAACTTTAGGAATTTGGCTGAGAAAAAATTGGACTTAAATATCAAACTATTAATAAACGCATGGCGATTATGGAAAGCAGATGAACAGTGGATTGGCGAGATTCATATCTAAATGAGAAAAAAGACTCAAAAGGGAAAATAGACCAATTTATTATCTGGATGTAACTTGATATGATACTCATGACACCGTAAAAAAAGGATGGACTGATGGATCTAGGAAATGTCAACCAATTTCTCTGCCCCCTAATAAAGGAACTTGGTTGATTATATTACACTGCGTATTAGTTGATGGATGGGTTGATAATGCATTAAAACTGTGCGGAAAAAACATGGAAGACTGTAACGTGGATTACCACAAGAACATGAAGGAAGAAATATTTGAGGAATGGTTCGAACATACCCTAATTCCAAAATTAAAACCGAATAGCATTATTGTTCTTGACAATGTGAAGTACCATTCGAGATAACTGTATAAAATTCCTAACAAGAGTTCTACTAAGCTGGAGTTACAAATTCTTTTATGGAACATGATCCCTATTATGAGGAAAATTATAATAAAGCACAACTCTTGAAAGTCATGCAAATGAATAATTATTAGAAGAATTATATTATATATACTGTAGCGGATAGATATGGCCACAAAATGTTGACAT